ACCCTTGACATTGGGCGGCTTGTGTGATTGCTCACACCCTGCAGCACCAACCTGCGGCTTCTCTCCGAGATCTTGGCCTTGCTTCTGAGACGCCCCCCAGGAACATAAATAGACTTTCCCTTGGGGGTGGGAATAAATTAATTCATGCAATTATAAAATAATTAAAGTATTTTCAGCCAATTCAAGTTTTGAGGAAAATCCAAAAATAACTCCTTGATTTAAATATTATTTACTAAATTAATTCTTTACTCAGCCTTTTTTTAGAGTCCCGGTTTCCCCTCCTTCCCCACTGTGAGAGCATAAAGGCGTTGCATAATTACTGAAATCACTTGTGAGTGGCAGCCTTTTTGCAAGGAACAATTGAAAGACTTCCTGGTGACTTTTTYCCTACGTGGCGCTGTACGGTGTGGTTGTAGTCGCCACCTGTCCAGGATTGCCCAGGAAGATTCTTTTCTCCTCATGGTTCACCTTTACTGGACGGCTGCGGGGAGGACCTTCAGCAATCTTCGGGACTGAGTGGAGAGGCAAGATAGCCTGACCATGGAGCACCTGTTATATGGCATCCGGTCACCAGGGTCTGGATCCCAGCATCACAAACTGTTGAGAAAGTGACCAAGTGCTTTCTTTTCTTTTTTTTTTCTTTTTTTTTAGTACTGGGAATTGAAACTGCTGAGCCTCATCCCAGACCTTTTTAAAAATATTTTATTAGAGATAGGGTCTCATGGAGTTGCCGTGAGTTCTGATCCTCCGGCCTCAGCCTCCCAAGCCGATAGAATTTCAGGTGTGCACCGCTACATTCGGCTTTTTTTTTTAAAAATTTTTAGTGTTTTCATTAAGTGTCATAATTATACATAACAGTGGGTTCATTGTGACAAACGCACATAACCTTGTTTGTTCCAACTCATTCCCTGATACCTCCCCTGCCCCTCCTTCCTCCTCTCACCTCCCTCCTTGGTCCCGTTCCTTCTGATTTTTTCCTTGGGTGCCTTGYGATCACACCTGTGAGGTCATGGTGGTGTGTTCCTACATGCAGACAGCATAAGTCACCTCGCCTCTTCCTCTTTTTTGTTTCACTTCATTGGTTTCCCGGGGACAGGGCTGGAGTGCTGGCTTGGTCCACATTAAGTACCTGGCACAGCCTGAGACCTGCCACCGTGCTGGAAGGGTGTTGCTCTCTGTCCTTAGGTGCCGCCGTCCTGGGGCCAAGGCCTTATTAGGGACTCCATCATCTGTTCTTAGGCGGAGCCTTGGCTGAAGTCCATGGGAGCGGTGGGAGGGAGGGCAGCTGTCCAGGAAGGGCTTCAGGTTTCCCCTGGGGCCCTCAGTGCCTCTGGGAGTCGGAGGGTGCCGGTTGCTCTTCTCTGGAGAAATGGATTCCCCCAAAGACTATATAGCACAACTTTAAAACGATGTTAAGAAAAATCAACCCAGACTGAGAGCGAGCTGAGGCCCAGAGAGTGTGGTGTGGCCTTTTCAAAGTCATTCTTGGGCCTCGTTCAGCCAGCCCCTTGAGGATTTTTTAACATCCAGGGACATGTACTTTTGTTTGACTTTGTTATTGACAGTTCATTAAGGGCTCAGACTGTGGTCGTCCATCACTGTATAGACCTTATCCAGGAGACATGCAAATAATTTCTGTCCAGTAGAAAAGATAACCCCAAAGGTTGGTTTTTTAATGCCCCATAGGACAATAACCAGTTTGTATTTCATCCAGGAATCTTAATCTCTTGCTCCTGTTGAAATCCCCTTAGTTACCCGCTTCCTCAAAATTCTTTTTGAACCGACTGTACCATCTCTCAGGCTCCCTTATTAATGACTCTTCCAATCTTTGATGCATGTTCATTGTCTGTTTGTCTGMGCTGTGTTTTTAACTTCACAGTTACCCTTTGACCGTGATACTGGGTATTTTTTCCAAGTTTAAAATAAGAAGCTACAGCACTAAAAACACCCCCTGCCCAGCCACATTTGACCTTGAATCTCAAGGTCACTCTTTAAGGAAGTAGAGCAGATGGCCTAAGTCCCACTGAACTGCTAAGAGAACTTAGACCCAGACTGAGAAGGGAGGTGACTCCTGCCCCAGGCCACCCACGCCCCAAGTGACAGAACCAAGATGGCTCCAGGGTCCAGCTGTTGGCTTAGGCTAGTCCCTGCCCCTTTCTGCCTTTCACATCTGTCTGTCCTTGGTGACGTCTGGTTAAAATGACCACCACCAGTGGACCCGCATAGGGGAAGACACCAAGGAGGCAGCTGGATGGGTGTATTGATATGGGCAGGGCCGCTCTGGGGGCTGCGCTTGTGTGTCTGAGGTAGTGCAATGGCAGTGTCCCCTTATCCAGCAGCCGCGGTGGCCCAGTCCTCGTGGACAGCCCCCCCCCTCCCCACAGCCCCAGGGGCCATCTTTCAGTGTAGTAATAAGGGGCCCAGAGCGATTAGCAATATTTTAGAAGGCTTAAGGGATATCATACATCTCCTAGTGACAGGTCTGCCCAGACTAAATGAAATGTCATTTCTCTGCTTTTTGGCTGAAATTCCGTCAGCTCAGTCTGGTGGCGCTGCTTATCTTGGACCGATCAGGGGCCCCGATTGGACCTTTCTATGCGTCCTTGACAAATAAAAATGAATGATTACTTAATAAATGCAGTCGKTTTGGCAGATACAGTGTGGCTTCTGGAAGCCTGGCGGCAGAAGCTCCAAGCAGCCCAACAATAGGGGTTCTTGGTGGCACAGAGATGGGGACGTGCTGACTGAGGTCCTTCTCCTGGGAAACAGAGAATGGTGGCCCTGGGACCCCTGGCATCTCAGCCTGTCTGGGAACCTGACCTGAGGCAGAGTTCTGCTGGTGTGAATGGACACCAGGTCCTAGGGTGTCCCTTGCTCCCAAGGAAAAGGCCAGCCGGAGAGCTGGCGTGGCAATAGGGCAGGGTCTTGAACATCTTCCTCTCTTCAAAGGTGTCATGAAACCAGGTCCACCTGCCTCCAGGAGCGCTCTGAGGCACCAGTAGCAGCAATCACAGAGGCAACTGGGAGAGGTCGCTAGGTCACAGGCGCTGTGACATCTCCTTTGCCTCCAGATAGCACTATTGCTATTTCCATTTTACTGAAGCTGAGCGTATCAGCAACTTGTTGAAGATCCCAGAGCTCAGTTGAGAAGTGCAGAAGTAGGTGTGGGCCACACAGGAGGTGTGGGCTTTCTAGAAGGCGGTGGGATTGAGTCCTGGCTCTGCTCTTGTCAGCTGTGGCCGTGGCTGAGTGAACCTCCCTGTCTCATTCTGATTCTAGCCCCATCCCCTGGGGCTCTGAATAAGGACGTTGGCTATGTTGGCTATTGTTCCTAAAGTACGGATTTTTCTTGATCTTTTTCTTGATCGGTTAATGTAGTGCTCCTTGTAATTGATTGGGTTTCAGAGGAGATTAATGAGGTGAGGATAAGCATTCAAGGTGGGAACCACAGCATCTCAGAAAGCCACGAAGAGGTGAGGGTCTCGCTTACTTTGGACGCAGGGCCTTAGAGTCAGTCACATGTTTGGTGCTGTTATAAGCAAGTGCGTACATAACAGAGCCAGTTTATGGTATGCAAATGATGCCTCCATATAATAAAGCTGTTTAACAAAACAGAGCCCCTCCCTGCTGTCTTGGAGTTTAGGATGGTGGGCTATGTGGTCATTAATCAAATAATCACACAGATAATTGCTGGTACCATGAAACTAAATCACAGCAACCTAGGAGTATATGGCAAGAGAACCTCTTCTAGCCTGGGAGGTTAGGAAAGGTTTCCCCAGGGAGGCAAAGCTGACCTAGGTGGGCAGGGAGAGAAAGCCTGAACCTGATGATGGGGTGGTGGCAGGAATGCTTCTGGAAGTGGTAATAGCTTGTGCAAAAGCCCTGGGGTAGAAAAGCACAGGGATAAGTGGAGAAAGGAAGCGTGGATGGGACTGCGGTGTTGACGTGGTGCAAGGTGAGACCGTGGAGGGAGGCTGGGCCTGGTGGTGCAGGACTTTGTAGGTTGAGGAAAGAACCTATTCCTGTGCTCCCCACTCATGAGCCCTCGCTCCTGTTCTCTAGTTGGKATATGTTTGTTGATGACCATGGGGTCCATCTGAGGCTGAGTGGAATGCCAAGGGCAGCTGGTGTCCTGGGGTGCCAGCTCTCTGCTGGAGCAAGTCTTTCTCCCCTGGAAACCTGTCCACAAGACATCTCGGGGCCCGGGTCTGACTCTATTCAGCAACCGTTCCCTAGCTGCAAAGAGGCTTTTAGCTTTAATAAAAACGGGAGTAGAGATAAGAGCCTGCCTCTGCAGGGAGAGCACCAGTGACAGGATGATTTAAATGGCCTCTCCAGTGTCATTTCTTCTGTGCAGACATCATAAATCAGATTAGCACTGGGCGCTGGGGAGGGAGGGCAGCGGGGAGAGGCCTGGACACTGGGTCTGTCTGGGACCGGCCCAGCACCAATGGGGCAGCCCCCAAATGGGGTGCCGAGTCATCTGTTCCTGATCCTCGGCCCCCAGCCCTGTTCTTTGGCAAAGGGACGGTGGGTGGGCGAGCTCTCCCAGCCCAGCTTCTCACCCCTTCTCAGCTTTGGGGAGGGAAGCAAGAGGGGCTGATGAGGGAGCAGGAGGGTGGCGGGCCATGTGGGGGTGGAGCACGACAGCCCTGGACAAAGCAGAAGCAGCCCCTCTCCTCCATGACCATACTTGGAAATCACCTTGGGGACTTTAAGAAAAACACTGGTGCTCAATACCATGCCGGTACCGTCCACAGCATTTCTGAGCTCCAGGTGGCTCTAATGGGTGGAGGAGTGAAGTAGGATTGGATCAGAGTGTGGCTGTGTCTTCAATGCAAGAACCAGACCGTCTCAAATCATGACCTCCCGCACCTCCACTCAGGCCTACCCAGTCCTTTGGGTCTCTCTTCAAATGAGCAGATTGAGGGACCAGAGCGGAGCTCCCTGAGATGGGCGAGAAGGGAGCCGGACTCCCACGTGCCTCCCTTCCCTTTCAGATCTCCTGCCACCTGGGCAAGATGTACAGCGAGATGATCTTTGTCAACGGCTTCGTGCACTGCGATCCCCACCCGGGCAACGTGCTGGTGCGGAAGCATCCGGACACCGGCAAGGCAGAGGTCATCCTGCTGGACCACGGTCTCTACCAGGTGGGAGAAGCCTTCCCACCCAGCTGCCTGGGGCCAGAGCTGGCTGACATTCCCCATCAGTCACAGAACTGGGAAGTGGAGAGTCAAGGTAGCAGGGTGGGGGGCCTCCCTCCCCCAGGAACCGTCATTTTATGCACTGTCCTGAGAGCTCTGTGAGGTCCGTCACACCTCTTCTACAGAGGGTCGTGAGGAGAAGGTAGAAAGGTGCTTGTGCCTGTGACTCTGTCTCCAGGGGACTGCAGGCCCCGGCAGGCCTGGGCGGTGAACTGCCAGGTGCAGGAGCCAGGGCTTCTGGGGAAGGGTAGCTCCACCTTCAGCCCCAGGGAGGGTGGAAGATGTGGTGGAAAGGGCGGCGCGGAGCTGACGGAGCTGGTGGTGCAGACTTCACTCTCTAAGATCAGGAGAGTGCTACTCTCATCCAGAATTAAGGGAACCCCCAGCATCAGGTCAGAGAGGACATTTCCCCAGGCAGATGTGACCTAGACAATGAGGACTTGGTTCTCCCCGTAACAAGAAGCCTGGAAGGGGATGCGTCTAGGTGAACCGTGGGCTTCTGCTTGGGAAGTTCACTGCCCGTCTGGGTCTCCAGGCCTGGATTGATTCCTTGGGGATGGTCCTGGGGAGTTTCTGGAGTGGTCTTCTATCCCAGTGGCCCCCGGGGCCCTGATGCTGCATCCCAGAATCTTGGCTTCCTCTGAAAGGCTTCGTGAAGTAGGGTCCATCATGTTAAGTTAGCCTTGGTCACGAGGAGTCCCGAAATGAATGACGGCCCCGACACAAGAGAAGTTTGATTGCAGTTTTGGAAGCAGCAGAGTCAGCAGGGCGCTGCAGGGGAGAGGACTCAGAGTACATGCATGGGAAAGTTCTGGAGACATAGAGCTTCTGCCGCATCCCCACAGTCAGGCGGAGGACCACATCTAGCTTCAAAGGAGGTTGGGAAACTAGCTTATCCCAGAGAAGAAGAGGAGAGGATAGGTTTTGGCGGGGGATTAGCAATCTCTGCCACTCCCGAGTGATTCCAAGTGTTGCCAAATACAGGTTGAGCCTGCCTAATGTGAAATCCAAAGTGCTTTCAAACTCCAAGCTTTTCCAGTGCCATGACACTGAGTAGAAAATTCCATGCCATGAGACCTTTGTTTCATGCACAAAATTACTAAGCATGTTTTATAAAATTGCCTTTAGGCTTATGTGTATAGAGTACATGTGAAACATAAAGGAATTTTCAGTTTGGATTTGGGTCTCTTCCCCAAGATACTATGTCTATGCAAGTATTCCAAAATCTGGAAGCATCCAAAAATTGAAAATACTTCCCGGCCCAAGCATTTCAGATAAGGGATAGTCAACCTGGAGGAGCTTTAAAAACTTGGGCCTTCAAGGATGGCCAGACTTCAGGGGAGAAGCAGGCCTCATGGGGAGCCATGGCAAGCACCAGCCAGGGGGTTAGGACTTTGGTAGGGAGAGGAGACTCAGGTCCCACCACCACTGTCCCCCTACAGGTGCTCACGGAGGAGTTCCGCCTGGACTACTGTCACCTGTGGCAGTCTCTGATCTGGATGGACATGGAGGGGGTGAAGAAGTACAGCCAGCGCCTGGGGGCCGGGGATCTCTACCCCTTGTTTGCCTGCATGCTGACAGCCCGGTCCTGGGACTCGGTCAATAGGGGCATCAGCCAAGCGCCAGTCACTTCCTCCGAGGTAGGTGGCCCCTCCTGGCCCTCCTTCCTCCCCTTCTAAGCCAGGGTCTTGGGGAGGAAGACCCCGGGAGCTTGTGTATATGTCGGGAGGAGAATGAGCTAGATGAGAAGCAGGAGGGGGAAGAGACAGTGTCCCTGTATGGAGGAGGATCGGGGGAAGACATCTCACTGCCTGCCGCCCCAGGCCTTATCAGCTTGGAGGAGAAACAAGGTCATGTGGCTGCAATACCCACACTCTTGTGCTTTAGCTTTGACTGGCTCACATGAGATTTTTAGGCTTCCTCCAACTTCTTCCCCAAGACTCTGGGCCTCCTCAGGGACTGTCTCCATCCTAAGTCTCTTCTGCTGTCCTTGTCCTTCCAGGCTGCATGGTCGGGAGGGCCCTTTGCTTTCCCGTGTGATACTCAAGCGGCCCTGCTCACCCTGTTGACCTGCAGACTCTTTTTTTCTTCTGTTCTTTATCCATTGCTTTCTCCATGGGCCTAGACAGGGTCACATGGGTCTGACTCGGAGACAGATCCTGGCAACACCTTCTCCCCACGCTCCTGCCCACCTCTGCCCCCTGGCAGCTCTCCAGGGAAGGAGGCCTCTCCTTCTCTCCTGGCCTTGACTTCTGTCTGTCCCTTCTGTCAGTTTCCAGGCCCATCCGTGCTGGCCTGTATCTCGGTGATGGACAGATTTGAACTCCAGCTGAGGCCTCTGCTCACTGCAGGGGATAGGGTACCAATCATGATGCCGGAAAGCCTGGGCTTAGGTTCTGGCACCTCCTTTTCCTGATGTCATGACCTGGGGTGTTCTTGTCACCCCTTTGGGCCTCAGGGGCCTCCCCTGCAAGCTGCTTTGTGGTAGGTAGGTGGCTTTAGGATTGGCTGGATCCAGAGTCGCAGATGATATCTCCAAGCGTCCATCTCTTCATCTCTTGGCTGCACTTTCCTCCAAGTTGACATCATTCTCCAGCAAGTTGGTGGCAAAGATGACCACCTGCTCTTCTGGGCCCCACAGTCCATCTCAGAAGAGAGACAGTCTCCTTTTGTAAAACAGGGACAGTAGGACTGATGATTCTGATTTACTAATCATGCATGTAGGGCGCCTACCAACAGTTCCTGAAGTTCATTCATCCAACAAGCATTTGTTTTTGCCGGATCCTGGGCTCGGCACTGAGGAGGCTGTGACCTATGGGCAGATGGGCCTTTTGTGTAATTTCCACTTTGGTTGCGAGAGACAGACAGTAAACAAGTGAACAAACAAGTAAGAGAAATAATTGCAGGTTATGGGCATCGTGGAAGAAATAAGCAGGATCATATCTGCAAAGGGAGTTGGGTGCTCAGAGACGACCTTGACGAGGACATTGGAGCTAAGGCACAGAGGGCAAGAAGGGCAGCAGCACCAGGAAGAGACTGAAGGAAGCATTTGTGGCACACTAAGGCCCAGGGGTAGGAGAGTTTGGTAGGGTTCAGAGTGTGGGGAGGAGGCTGGTGGGATGGGAAGAATTTGGAGTGCTGGCTGGAAGAGCATCCCATGGGCCTTATAAGCCACAGAGGGAAGTTCAGATTCATTCTCAGCATAAAGCAAAGCCTTGGATGGGCTTTAAACAGAAGCAGATGCTCAGACCTGCTACTTTTAAGTGTCTCTAAAGTGGGGTGAGATGAGCCCTGGGCCATTGGTTAGGAGGTCAGGCCAGGCCTCCAGGTGGAGGTGAGGGGTCAGACGACGCTGGTGGCAACAAAGATGGAGACTAGAGGCAGAGTTGGAGGAGAGAGAGCAGCAGAATCAAGGTTGCAGCGTCCTAAGGGGGGAGCAGCTGCTGCTTCTAGAAGCAGGGGAAACTTTGGAAAGGGCATGTTTGGGGCAGGACTAGGCACTGGTTCTCTTGAGCAGATAGGGATGTCCTGGGAAGTGAAGACCACAGCTCAATGAAGAGGTCCTGTTGGGCTATCCATTTGTGAGTCTTTAGCCTGTAGATGATACTTAAAGCCACAGTGCTGAATGAGATCTTGTGGCCCATGGTAGGTATGCAGTGGAGGACATGCATACTCATTATCTAAGATGGAATTTTGTGCTTACATTCTTATGACTTCATGAAGACCAGTTAAAAAGCCAATGCTTTGAAGAAGCCAAACCTCCAGGAAGCCTTTCCTTACCCTCTTCATAGAAAGTCACCCATCCATACTTGAATCACTCTGGGGCAAGTGGCTCACTGTCCCTTGCAGAGTAGTCCCGTCTGTCCATCTTCGCTGTCTAATGACAGGGAGGGGCCTTGTCTTGCACATCTTTTTATAAGGTCCCTGCAGTCTAGATCTAGCTGACAGGTGTTYGTGTAGGTTCTGGAGACCCTGACTCTAACTGCTCATTTGGACATGAACCCAGACAGACTGAGGACGAACTGAGCCGGGTCAGACCAGCCCAACCTTGCCTCTGAGATCTCCAGGCTCTTTCTGAAACCTGCTGTCATTCAGAATTAAGGGAACCCCCAGCATTGGATCAGGGAGGATGTTTTCCCCAACAAAATGTAGCCTAAACAACAATGAGGAACTTGTTCTCTTCCTCACAAAAAGCCTGGAGAGAGGCAGGTCCAGGTTAGTTAACTCAGCACATCAACAGCCTGGGGGCTCTGGGCCCCATTCCTGTTGATTCTCTGGACATTTCTCCCATGATTCCAAGATGGCCGGGGCAGTTCCAAGCTTCATGTCTTTATTCAGTGGTGGCCACAGGCAGGAACCAGGGGCTGTTTCCTCTCATTTCTGAAGGGCAAGAGACCCTTTCCTAGAAGTCCCCCAGCTGACTTGTCCTGTGTCTCTTTGGCCAAAATTGTGTCATGTGAGGGAATGAGTACTCAGGAAAATGATGAAGGTGACGATTGTGGTGGGGACCACCATGCCTTGGAAAGGCCAGGAACTCTGAAAATGTCACATACATTAATTTATTTAACCCTGATAACAAGTCTATCAGGTTGAGTGTATTATCTCCATTAAAAGTGAGGACACGGGGCTGGGGATGGAGCTCAGGGATGGAGCCCTTGCCTAGCATATGCAAAGCCCTGGATTCCATCCCCTGGCAAAATAAATGGAAAGCAGGCAGGAAGAAACGGAGGCACTGAGAAGTCAAGGGACCTTCCCAAGGGTGCAGAGCGGGTAAGTGGTGGGTCAGGATCCCACCAGCAGCCTGACTCCGGAGCCCACGCCCTTCCCTCCTGGCCATGCTCCCTGCCCACCTCGCTGTAGGACTGCAGGCCTTCAAGCAGTCCTGGATCTCCTTCCACTCAGAGTCCTCACCCCAAAACAGGACATGCTACTACCCTCTGTGTGGGATGGAGGGGGAGAGGCAAGTGACCCAGCTGCATGGAGAGGGTCATCAGAGACAAGGCACAGAGAAGCACTTGGTGCCACTGAGTCCTAACAACAGCCCAGCAGTTCTGCCAAAAGCCCTTTCCCCCACTGCTTTCCGCAGCTGAGACAGTCCCGGTGCCTTCAGAAGCCTGACAACACTGCTGATCATCACGTCGCTGAGCTAGCACACTGGGACGTCTCCACGGCAGCCAGACACCAAGAGGCTGGGCACTGTCATAGCTGCAGGTGGCCCTGCCTGAGTGCTAAGTCCAGACCAAGGCCTGGCTCCCCCAATGGGACTACAGCACCACTCACCCGAGGGTGCCTCCCAGGGGTAGATCTCAGAGCAGTAGAGCCTGCCGGCCTGGGCACCCACAGCTTAATGGTGGGTGTCTGGAATAGACCTAGTTGGGTGCCTACCAAGCAGCCATTCCCCCATTGTCCTTTGTTAAAAAAAAAAAAAAACCCAATTTTGTTCATTTGGGTCCTGCTGAAGGGCCAGAGCCACGCTGTCATGCCCAGGATTGTAGGCAGTTACTCACCTACGCCTTTGTAGAGCTCAGTGACAGGGAAAGGAGGGACGCCGGGTCCCAACTTAAACACCCGATGGTGAGGGCCGTGGGATGGCCCTGGACCCTACTCTGGGCAATGTGGGATGAGACTGGCTGCAGTGCAGGACACAGTGACCCACAGGGGGACGTGGCTGGTGGGTGGATCTGGTGGGGTGCAGATTATGGGGAAGGACTCGGGGGCTGGGTTGGAGTCAGGAGCTCAGACCTATGGGCTAGGTCAACCTGTGCTTGGCTGGCGGGGGACATGGCTTGACTTTCAGGGCTTCTTGTTGGCCTGCCCTGAAATGGGTGGCAGAGCCTTGGAGAGTCCCCTGGCTCTTCCGAGTGTGCTCCTGAGCTGCATTAGTGTTTGTCTAGGGGCTGGGCTGGGCCTCTGGTCTCTGTGGTCAGGCTGTGGAGCTGTGGGGCTTCTCTTTGAGGAGTGTTCTTAGTGGTGTCAGGAGGGCTGTGCTGGAAGCTTCTGCCTGGAGCTTCCTTGAAGCCCCTCTGGTCACAGACTGCCCAGACTTTTGCCACCCGGGCTCCACTTCCCCTCTGACCATCCACTTCTGTCTCCCTGTTGCTGCTCCAGGACTTAGAGATCCGCAACAACGCCGCCACCTACCTCCCCCAGATCAGCCAGCTCCTCAACCACGTGCCGCGCCAGATGCTGCTCATCTTCAAGACCAATGACCTGCTGCGCAGCATTGAGGCCACCCTGGGCACCCGCGCCTCTGCCAGCTCCTTCCTCAACATGTCACGGTGCTGTGTCCGGGCGCTAGCCAAGTGAGTATGGGCCCTGTTCTGGTCCCCTCTCAGCTCCCAGCCTGCCCAGGGCTCCTGCTTGCCTCTGCTATTCCCACAGTCCATGGGCGCCATCTGCATTTCCCAATCTCCACTTCTCCATGCCAGGGGAGCTGAGGTTAGAAAACAGCTCTGGTGAACTGGCAGGTGCCCTGGGTCCGTGTCTTTGGGTCTCCCAGAGAGTCACTTGTATATGTGAAAGGGTGGATTCTAGGATGTCATCTTCCCAATCCAGCTTCTAGATGATTCTTGCCCACACTGAAGTTTGAAAGGTTTGGGGGAGTCTCAGCCCTTTGCAGGTGTCCCTGGGCTTGGGGTCAGGAAGCCCTGGTGTGACCCAATCTCTAACTGGTCTTGGGACTTGGCTCTCTGTGATTGGCCCAGCAGGTAGGCCAGTGGCTCTTTTTCCTGCAGAGTGGCTGGCCAGCAGGCTGTCTTGGAATTTCAGGCCTTWTGGTTGTCTCAGTGCCTTTGGGGTGCTGGTGAGGAAGGGAAGGTGCTTTCTCAGGGAGCTCATTCCAGAGGAACAAGGACTCTGGCCTCCCGTGGGGTGGGGTGGAATACCTTGGAAGGAACGTGCCCTCGTGGAATGTTCTCACTGGCTTGGGGTCCACTCCTAGCCCATCTCTCCTGGGCAGGAAATGGGTCTTTCTGGGAAACTACTCGGATTTGACCACATATATCATGTACCTTCTATCAGATATCAAATTAGATCACAGCAAAATATACCGCACACTGAAAGAGCTGGCCATGATTTATTCTTCCTCTGAGGGCTTGGGAAGTCAGGTCTTGAATAGGTCATCGTCGTAAACACCAATTTTTATTGTGTCCTTTGTTGGTACAGAAGGGATGGAGCTGGGCTAATGTGTAATGGCCTCAGCCTCCCTGGACATGACCAGGTTTTCAAGTGACTCTTGTCCTGAGCAAGTTTGGAAAAGCTTTCAGTATATTTGAGCTTGGGGAATTCTGGGTTGGCATATATTTACTATACTTTTGGGAAAAGAAGTTTTGGAATATTCCACCCAGTGAGCCTCTCTGACCTCTGACGCCCTGTGAAACAGCTGCTTTTCCTTACCCCACTTATTTGAAAAACTGCTTTGGCGTGTTTGAGGTCCTCTGACCCTGTGGTCAGGCAGTGGCATGATCAGGTCACCAAGAGTAGTCCCCAGGGGCAGGGGCTGGTGCGTTGGCCAAAGCCACCATCTCTTGTTTTTCTCAGTTGTACTGAGCCAGTGTCCTGACCGCTTATCTCTCCTTTCTTGCCCTTCCTCCAGGCACAACAAGAAGAATGCCTGTTCGTTCTTCAGAAGGACCCAGATCTCTCTCAGCGAGGCCTTGAACTTGTGGCAGATCAGCCTTCACGAACTCCTGCTGCGTGTGAAGGGGCTGAGGCTGCCCGGCTGGGTCTCGGCCCTGCTTTGCTGGCTCTTTCCTGTTTCACTTTGAGCTACTCCTTAACTCCTGCCCCTTCGTGGTGGATTTCCACTCCTGTCTTTCCTGCGTTCCCTGACTCCACCCACCTTCTCTGCCCCATAGTGGTCAGGAGTCCCGGGGTCCCTCATGGCCTGTGGCACCATCATGCTTCACCTTTGGAATCCCTGTGCCCACACTTGTCTCAGGTACCGTGGACGAGGTTTCTGTCCTTCCCCAGGGAGAAGATGCAGTAGCCTACTTCCCACTGCTGTGTGGCCACTGGCTGGACGCCACCCCCATTTCTGGTCACCCATTCTGTTTTCAGGATGGACCACACGTGCACGGAGAGCACATTTAACTCATAGGAAGTTTGATTTTGTCAGAGGTGAGCATGGTCCCTGACCCTGAGGGAGAACAGGCTTCCTCTCCTTGCCATGTCACTCCCCAGAGGTGCCATCTGAGTGTGTCACTGCTGCCACAGTGACCCTGTTGGTGTTTTATGTATCGTGTTTCAGTAAATCCCTCTCAAGTTTGCAGGGTTGTCTGTCCTGACTCACTGGTTCCCCCCCTGCCTTGGCCACATGCCCGTTCAGACTGTGTCCCTGGCCCTTGCCACACCACTTAGAGCAGCTCTAGGAAGACCTGGGAGATGAAGTCAGAGTTTGGTTGATGGCATTTTTATTCCACACTGGCCAGTAGTGGACTTGAACGCCTAGTGCCAAGAGGGTCTTCTGCCTGGCATCCTCCCTTGCGATCCTTCCAAGCTGGAAGAAGCCTTTTCCTCTCTGGGGCCACTTCCCACTTCCTGCTTCTTGGCGGCTTCTCCTTCCATCCAAGTCTCTGAGGCCTTGATTGGAGGAGGTCAGCAGCTCAGAGCTCGGCGGAAGCCTCAGGCTGTTTTCTGTGGGTTCTCACCTCATTCCCTTGACCTGGGCCACCTGTCTTACCCTCTGTTTCTCTTTTGGTGACCCCAGCTTCAGGGGTGCGCTTGCACCTGGTCTTCCCAGTCCTTCTGAAGACTCTGGTCCTGTTCCTGAACACCGGGTCCCTGGCTGGGCTTCCCCTCCGAAACTCCCAGGCACCTGTTGAATTGTTTCTACCTGTCACCTGCACCTTCCCCCCAGCTCCATCATCTGCTCCTCTGTTTGGGACACCCCTGCTCTAACTCCTGTGGCCACATGGTCTCCAGGTCCCCGAGACCTCAGATCTGGCAGGTCCCCACTCCTTGAGCACCCATGTGCACAGATGCCGATTGTATCTGGGTCTCTCTTATTTTCACCCAATCACAGGGGTGAAAATCCCTGAGCCCGAGTCTCATTTTTCTATTCCCTTTATTTATAAGACAACCAGCAGATTTTCTAGTGATCAGAGATGACTGCAATCCTTTTATTTCCTAAAAGAATTGATTGTTCTTAGTGACCAGTTGGATGGACCCAGGGGCCTATGAGAATAATTTGTAAGATCTGTTATTAATCACGAAGATGTGCTGCATATTCTGTTTTGTGGTATCTTTTATAGCCACTGAAGTAAATAGAAATGTCCTTTCTGTTCAAGGTCATGGGCATTTGCTTTTCTCTTTTGTTTTAGTGGTTGGCTTCCTCTGCACTGGGACCTAGAACATCTTCATGTGGCCGGTGGGCCCAGACCCCACACATTTCTCTGGGAAGAGCAGAGAGGCAGGAGAGTTGGAGGTTTAGGACAGCTTGAAAACAGTAGAGCAGCAGACTGTTGAGTGCTCCCCGCGTGCAAAAGGCCATGACAGGCTCTGAAAATACATTACATCATTGAATTGTCCCATCAGCTCTCAGACGGAGCATCATTACCCTCAGTGGTGGGAGCCAAGGATCAGAGAGGTTTACTAGTTGCCTGTAGCCATATAGTTTTGATATTTAATTCTACAGATAAAGCTTATCCTTGCTCCTTAAGCTGTCTTGGGGGTGTGAGTTGTGCCTTCCAGATCTGTGCCTAGCACGTAGATATCCTGGCTTACAGCGGGTGCACCATCAGCAGCGTGCAGACACGGAGAGTCTCAGCACAGCTGGTTATTTTCAGGGATGTTGAAATCTGTGCATTTGAAAAGCCACACATGTACTCCTCCTGCCTGAGGCACTGCCTTGGTGGCCAGGTTCAATCCTGAGCGTTTGTCGTCCACTCCCAGGATCAGAGGTGGCCTGTTCCTGCATTGCAGTCTGTCTGGGGCCCTTCTGTCACAGCTGGGGAGCTCTGAAAATGAGTCTAACGGCATCTCAGAAAACAAACTCTCTCCAGGAGGCACCCAGGCAAATCTTGGGGGGCAGGGCTGTTGGGAGATTTGGAATGACCCTTTACAGAGGCAAATGTGACAGGAATGATACCTGAATAGAGAGTGGCCTGGGAGGGTAAAGCATGAGCAGGGTCTGAGTGGGGCGTTGGTGACTGGCAGTGTCCTAACAGCCAGGTGAAGGAAACCAGAGTGGCGATTCCCAGGCCTGGCCTGGGGGCGCGATGCCTGATGAGTCTGGCGGGAGGGCCCTGTGCTCGTCCAGAGGCCTTGAATACCTGGTGACCTGGCGCCACTGCTGCTCTTGGTCAACAGGAGGCCCATTCCCTGAGCCCTGAGCCTGCAAACATTTTAGTAAAGGCCTCGTGTGGCCATTTGCTCAGCAGGCCCCCGTCTCACCTCCTTGCCCCCTCTCCGTCCCTGCTTCCCTCTGTCTCTCCCCTGCTCCTTTCTTCCTGTGAAGCAAACCTAGCTCTGCTCGCTCTCCTTTCCTGCAGAAGGATGGATTGGCCTGGGGAAGAGTGACACCTTGGGCTGTGGCCGCGATGTCTATTTCCCCTCGTGGGTGCCTCCCGGCCTGCTCGCCTGGCTCCCCCGCAGGCTGCCTCAGCCCCGAGCTCCGGCCAGCCCTGCTTCTCCCAGGTCACGGTGCCGGGGGCATGTAGGCTGTTTTCCCGTCCTGAGCTCCTCCGACATTTCTTCTGGTTTTCCTCTTTCCTGTGTGCTAGAGGGAAGGACAGATCCTAAGATTGGCAAAATGGTGACATTCGGCCTCCCAGCCCCAGCCATTCAGCTCCGAGGTCCTCATCCCTTGTCCCTGCACATGCATCCTCCGCAGTGCCTCTTTGACTCCTGGGTGAACCCATAACTGGGGCCTTGGTAAAACGCAGGTGCTGACCCTGAGCCTGGATGGGCCTGAGAGCCCGGGTTTCTGAGGAGTGCCCAGAGGGTGCTGATGCTGCCCCAGGGGACATCCTTTGAATGGCAAGGACCTAGATGGTTGGAATCAGTGGCAGGTGCATCCCCTGGGAGCTTGTTAGAGATGCACATTCCCAGGCCCCGGAATCACCAAACTAGAGACTCTGGGCGGAGCCCACCTGTCCGTTTTAACAATTCTTCCAGGGGATTCCGAAGTCCGGAATCACTCGGCTGCGGAGCTCCTTCTGCCTGAACGTCAGGATCACCTTCAGAGATGCAGATGCACAAGAGTCTGAATTAATTGTTTTGGATGGAGGCCAAGCACTTTCCAAAACTGTTTTGATCTTAACTTTTTATTCTGAAATAACTTGAGATTTCTAGTAAGCGTTGCAAAGATGGTGCAGAGGGTGCCCACGAACCCATCCCCTACCTTTCCTAACTCGAACCTCTCATGTAACATCTCATGGCAGGCTCCCTTGATTAGTAAGAAGAAATCAATGTTAGTTCAGTACTAGCAACTAAACTCCAGGGGTTCAGATTTCACTGGTGTCTCCCTGTTGCAACCTTATGTTCAGTTGTCCTGTCTCCTTAGACTTCCCTGACCCATGACAGTGTCTGACTCTCCTTGTCACTCACCACCTTGACACTTGGGAAAAGAACGCTTCAGGTATTTTGCAGAATGTCTCTCCGTTTGGCTTCGTCTGATGTTTTCTCATGATTATCTGTGGTGAGGGGCCTTGAAATAGCAGCTCACAGGTGAAATGCCTTTCCTACCACGTCCCATTCTGGAAACAGGACATCGAGGTGACTTAAGAGTATTTGTTCCTTAAAGTTCCCCATCAGGGAATCAATCTAACAAAAGAGGTGAGAGACCGCCACAATGAAAACTACAGAACACTAAAGAAAGAAATTGAAGAAGACCTTAAAAGATGGAAAGATCTCCCGTGTTCTTGGATAGGCAGGATTAATATTGTCAAAATGGCCATACTGGGTTGGGGTTATAGCTCAGTGGTAGACTGCTCACCTCRCACGTGCAAGGCCCTGGGTTCAATCCTCAGCACCACATAAAATAAGTAAGTAAAATAAAGTTTAAAAAAAAATGGCCATACTACCAAAAGCACTATACAGATTCAATGCAATTCCTATTAAAGTTCCATTGACGTTCTTTATAGAAGATATACAAAGAACCCAAAAAACTTCACACCCCCAAAACAAATAACCCAGTTAATAAATGGGCTAAGGAACAGAACGGCCACTTTACAGAAGAAATATGAATGGTCAACAAATACATGAAAAAATGGTCAACATCTCTATCAATTAGAGAAATGCAAATTAAAACTACACTGAGATTTCATCTCACTCTGGTCAGAATGGCAATTATCAAGAATATAAACAACAGTGTTGGTGAGGATGTAGGAAAAAGGTTCACTTATATGTTGCTTGTGGGACTGCAAATTGGTTTAACCACTCTGGAAAGCAATATGAGACTTCTCAGAAAACATGGAATGGAACTACCATTTGACCCTTTTATCCCATTCCTCAGTATGTACCCAAAAAGGACTTAAAATCATCATACTACAGTGACTCAGCCACATCAATGTTTATAGCAGCTCAATTCATAATAGCCAAGCTATGGAACCCAACCTGGGTGCCTTTCAACAGATGAATGGATAAAGAAACTGTAGTATATATACATAATGGGATATTATTCAGCCTTAAAGAAGAATGAAATTATGGCATTTGCTGGTAAGTGGATGGAATTTGAGCCTATCATGCTGAATGAAATAAGCCCATCCCAAAATCCAAAGGTAGAATATTTTCTCTGATATGTGGATGCTAACCCACAACAAGGAAGAGGAAGAATGGAAGTTCATTACATTTGACAAAGGGAAATGAAAGGAAGGGAGGGGGAATGAGAATAGGAAAGATAGTAGAATGAATTGGCCATCATTTTCCTGTCCTCATATATGAGTACATGACCAGTGCAACTCCACATCACGTACAACCACCAGAATGGGGTCCTAACTGGAACAAGTTATTCTGTGTATGTATAATATTTCATAATATATTCTATCACAAAAAATTGAGTTCCCCATTAGGGTTGGCACCTCTGCTTTAGGCTCATACACCTTCCAGATGTCTTCAGAGGAGGAAGAAATGCAGAACTCCTCCCCCTGGCATTAGGCAGAGCCTTTCTGAGATGGAGAGAATCTGGCTACTCCCAAGGCAGAACGTTCTCAGGAAGCCAAAACCTGCAGATATGCCAAAGCCAGGTGATAGACACGGTGTTCACATCAACTGCACATGAAGCCTTTCAGAGCACGCAGCGTAGCACAAGCAGAATGACCCGGGAACATGACATCCAAAACCTGAACTCTAACCCCTAGGGTTAGACCTAGCATGAGCAGTTTTCTTTCCTAGGTGGGTTTGCAGTTCTACAAGTGGAAGTCACCAGGGCTGGTAGGGGGCCACTGGCAGTCACCCCCAGGGTAGGCCTGGCACCCTCTGCATAAATCTGCTGGTGGCCCCCTCTCAGTGCTGGACCAGGACCAGATCATCACACCCAGGGTGGTGGCTACTGGCCAAGCCCATGACCCCTGGTCATGAATGATGGAAGGGGTTGGTGGCCCTTCTCCAGATGAGTGGAAATGGAGGGGGAAGTTCAGAGGGACTGACTGTCAGCAGCACCGACTTCTTGCCAAGGCTGACACTGGGTGGGGCATGAAGCTCCTCCCGTCTCCCCAGGCTGGTGAGCAGGGACAGAGGTCAGGCACATGGGCTGCTCCCTGCTCGGTTGGCGCTGCCAGGGCTGTGTAGCTGCCCCCAGGGTGCTTTTCCTTCCTCTGCCCAAGGTAAGCATGAGCACATGAAGTCTGCAAATGTCCATTGACATGACCGTCCCCATCATTGAGATAGAGAGTATAGTGTAGCCATTAAGGGTATGGGCTCTCAAGTGGGCCTGTGCTCCCCTATTCTGGCTGTGTGATCATGGACAAGTAACTCCACCTATCTGGGCCTCAGTTCCTCAGTTTGATAAGTGGACATAATAGTTCGTACCCAACAGGGTGACTGAGAAGATCTGGTTAGGTGATAGCTACAGTGTGCTTGGAGAAGATGAACCACACCGTGCTTAATAAATATTTATTATAAACCCCTATGGCAGACACAATTCTCAACCTCCTTAGCTCTTGCCCACTTTCTCTTTGAGAGACTGAAGGAGTGAGGTCTTGGTCTCCCAGCCTGCCTTGCAGGAAGGTTGACACTTGGCATGAGAGGTTGAATGACAGGTGAATGAGAATCTTCTGGAGAGCTCCTGGGAAAGTTTTTCTTCAGAAATTGATAAAGGGATAGTTTGTCTGTATTGCCTCTT